TGATTTCCCTCCACAGTGTTTTCAAGGTGTGGTTTGGAGTCCATTCTTGTGACTGTCTTGTTGCTTATTAATCTTGTGTCTGAGATGCCGTGTCTGAGCTGGTGGCGCACAAGGCTCTTTACCCCTTGGCGAGTTGCGCAGGCGAAAGAGCGAGGGATGCCGGGTCCTGGTCTTAGCTCCATTGGTGACCAGCTGTGACCGTCACCTGTTGGCCTGACCCAGGCGAGGCCTGTGGACTCATGTGCTCCAGGTCCCTCCCAGCTGTGGCATTCTGTCTGTCACCAGGGCTCTCAAGCACACTCGGTGCATGTCAGCACAGGGCCGGCGGTTTGGTGGCCCTTCTTGAGTCCTCCTCATGCTAACAGGTGGCTTGTGTCCCCTTCCCAGAGCAGGACGAGAGGAGCCGGGAGGCAGTGGAGCAGTGGCGTCAGTGGCATTACGACGGCCTGCACCCACCCTACCTCTACAACCGCCACCACGTCTGACCCTGCCCTGACGGCGGCAGAGAAGACAGAGCTTGAGACATGTCCACCCTCCCTGGTGTCCCAGCCGCTCTCTCCTGTGCACACGGGCCCTTCAGAGGGTCTGAGCTGAGGGTCTGCCGTGGCCGACAGCCCTCGGGAAGACACGTCTTTCATCCCGACGCATCGAAATGTCCTGGCATCTGCTTCTCTGCAGAGGATTGATTGGGCGGTGAGCAACCGCCTGTGCCAAACCTACAGCGGATTCCCCTGGCTTCGTCCCCAAAGTAAGGCTCTGTCTGATAGAGCAATCAAACCAATCACAGTGAAGAACAGAGATGACATGTGTAGTTATAGCTTCACAATAAAAATGCTGAATCAACCATGTGTATTATCTTCTCAAATCTCAAACTGAGCGGTGTCGACCTGTCTCCCCTGAGTGACAATGTTACTCCCGCTGACTTGGGCTTTTGAAAGCCCACCCCCCAACCCTCCTGCTTGGGTTTCTGGCCAGCTAGTCCAGCCTGCTTTTGAGGTTGGGCTTCCAAGGCAGTATACGGTGACTTTGCATTGGGGTTACTTTGAGGAAAATTTACCTCCATCATGGTAAAATACTCCACCAGACGGGGTAGGGATATTAATTAGATCAGGGCACTTTGCAATGAATGCATGCGTTTTTAAGTAACTTTTTAAAAGGCTGATACGATCTTTAAAACTACTCTAGTGATTAAGTAATAATGCATATTCCAAATCGCCTCCTACGTAACACGCAATACTGTTATTTTCTCACACCTCCTCCAGGCAGGAGCTGGACTGGCCGTGGGAAGCAAGGAAGGGCACTGGGCAAAGTCCACCGTTCACTGTTGTCCCCTGGGCAGGCAGAGTAGAGGAGCCGACCTCCCCTCAGCGCCGGGAATTCTGGGATTCATCATTTGGAGACTCAGGCTTGGTGCACAAGTGCTATTGTGACAAAAGCCAAGGCAGTGCCCACTGTCCATGACAGGGCACACTAGGATTCCGCTCAACAGTGCCTTAAGAGAGGGGTCGCAGCTGGGACTCTGGAATATTTTGATCACGGTATTTTAGGGATCACTGATACAGTTACTCCAAAGTTACGTTACAACACACATCTTGGTGTCTAAACTGGATCAAGTAAGAACGCTTCCAAATGGAAACCAGGAGAGTTCCAAAAAGCTTCCTTAGGCTTAGACAACATGCATAAAATATTCAGCTGAAACCTGCATTTCCCCACTTAAAACATTCCTGACACTTTTATTCATCCTACTCAATCTTTTTTTTTTTTTTAAATAAGACACTTCCACTGTAAAAGTATTTTAGATACAGTACGTGCTCATTGTAGCAAATTGAAGCAGTATAGAAATCTACTGCACAGAACAGGTGTCTCTACTTCTTGTCTGTTCAATTGTACCTTGAGTGAGCCCCGTCAGTGGCTTCGTATGTATTCCTGCACCTTTTCTGCACAGACACACACACACACACACACATACTCTTCATCCCTTGTAACGGCAACGTCATATACAATTGCGTAAATCCAGACGGTCCCACTCCGTCGTGCAAGGAAGGAGCTCCTTAAGTAGGTCTGAATCAGCTCAACGGAATCACCTGCTGCCAGGTGAGCTGTGAACATTTCCTTTCTCACAAGATCACGCATCTCAACCTAGTAGTTCCATTATCATATCGTCACCTACATGTTCCCTACTTCTCTTTCCCATGGATAGGGAGGGCATTTTGGGATGGGGTCCCTTTACTGGAACCTTCCTCACGTTGTACCTGGTGTGGGTCTGCCCAGCTTCCACGCCCTTCTCTGTGGGCTAACGGGTGCTTGGGGGAACTAGCCTTGTGCTAAGCTTTCCCGCAATAAGCTGTGTTTTATTTTTACACCACGTGACACTAGCAGTGTGTGTGTGTGTGTGTGTGTGTGTGTGTGTGTTTGCTCTTTTTCATGCTGTTAAACATGCTAGTTTATGTATCTAGCCCTCTGTCAGTGGGACAGCTTTCCGGACATGAAACGCTGGGTCGTAACTTCTAAACATTTTAAACTGGATGTATCAAATTTCTCTTCCAAGAAGTTATGTGCTATTGCAGTTACTATCACTGGATGTCTTTGCCAATCCTTTCCTTTCTAAAATTAATCATTCATTCATTATTTAGAGACGAGGACTCCCTGTTGCCCGGGCTAAAGGGCAGTGGCTATTCGCAGGTGTGATCCTGGCTCACCGCAGCCTCAACCTCCTGGGCTAAAGCGATCCTCTCATCTCACCGTGGGCCTAGCAGCTGGGGTTGGTAGGTGGGCAACGGTGTACGCTTAGCCCACTGCCAGCTCAAATCCTGAGTCAGGACTGCAGGCAGCTCTGCCAGTGACAAAGTGAGGTTGCACTCTGGTCACATGAAACTGTCCTCTTGGGTGATCAGGAGCCAAATGCTAAGCTGGGTCCCGAGGGCCCCGAGGGCCTGACCTTTTATGTTGGTAACTTCTGGGTTTTTAAAATTACGTTTTTTTTTTACGTACCTGGTGTGCAATAGAAAAAGGCAAATCATTGCCCTCTCACCTCTGCCGGGAAACAAGGAGTCCCCATCTGGCTTTTGTCAGTCAAGATGACACATCTCAGTGCCTTCTGGCAAGAGGGCAGCTCCCCTTCCCGTGTGCAATGACCAGGTAGACAGCAGCCAGTGAATCCCGACTCAACAGCCACGTCACACACCACCTGCCTGCGGTGTGTCCCCAAGAAGGAATACGGGGGCCTACAGATGTCAACATCCAAGAATGGTTTTGGGTGAGTGGCCAGTTAAACAAAACAGCCTGTCCTTGCTTCTTCAACGGTCATGCCTGGTGTGTTGGCTCCAGATGAAGAACTCTGGCAGAAAGGGGCTGAATAAGAATTCCATTACCTCCTACCACCCCGACCCTCAACGAGGGCTCCACTATGCTTCGGGCTTTTCAGAATTCCTTCCCTGATAGCCGGTCACGGCCACTTCCTTGGCAGGCAGAGGCACGCCACAGGCAAGATGATCCGGAATCTGGGCACCCAGTTAGTAGGAAATTAGGAACAGAGCAGTTTGCATTTTGGAGACTGGCCTTGTCAAAAGTGTGGGTTTGGGGACGTCTTTTACTTGTTCGTCTCTGTTCTTTCATTACTATCCCCTAGTTCCTAAGGGGTTCCGGGTAAGTGGTTGAAAACAGATTTGTCAAAGGATAAATCTGTCATGAATTTCTATTCACCAACTCTGCATAGGCTGGCATTTTGTTTTCCTGTTGCAGGTTAAAGGTACAAGAAAAAAAATTTTTGTGTTTGCTCCAGAGAAAGATTTTGCAATTTATTATCATGTGCCTTTGTGGTTTATTTTGAGCTTTTGGAAGGACATAGCAATTTTTCTGAGTCTCAAAAGAATTAAATTTTTTTTTTCTGAACTTTTTATGTGCTTTTGATAAGTTTCATTGGGTTGGGTTATTTCATTTCTAATCTATTTTCAACTAATTATGTTCTAATTCTTTGGTAAGGTTTTCATAATTTAACAAGTTCTATCTGTAGCTCTTAAGGGATTTGTCCAAAAGCAAATGGGTTAAATATAAACGTTCTAGTACACAACTGATAACCTTGGTATACCGTGTGATCTTATGACGTACTAGTACTTTTTTAAAAGAAGTTTTGTCCACTTTCCACATGATGTTTATTTAAAAATTACAAATAGTTTGAACAGGTAATGTATACACATGGTTTAAAATTCTAAAAGGACAGAAGGATACAGTAGAAAGTTCTTCCTTTGTCTCCCAAAGGAAACTATTATTCCCATTGTCTTGGGTTTTCTCCAAGTGATCTATGCACATCTAAGTATTAATATCTACATAGACTTTTTTCCATTTTTATTTTTTAAACCTTAAAATTCATACTTAGCTTGGGCAACATAGCAAGATCCCATCTTTTATAAAAAATTAGCTGGGTATGGTTATGTGCACCTGTGGTCCCATCTACTAGGGAGGCTGAGGCAGGAGGCTCTGTCAAGCCCAGGAGTTCGAGGCTGCTGTGAGTTATGACCACACCACTGTACTCCAGCCTGGGTGACCCTGTCTCTAAAAATACATAAAATTCATTTTTGACCAGCAATGCCTACTTTACGTACCTATTAAGCCAATTTTCTACCATTAAAAAAAAAAACCCTATAGTAAATTTATAGCAAAGCAGTTTTCATAAAGCTTTCTTAAAGAAAAAGCTTCCTATAGGAATAGCACTATTTGGAGGGGATGTATCTAGAAAGAACACTGATTTCATATGAAAACAAAAGTGAACAATATTTTTCTAAACAACTTCTCATTAGGCACTTTAATAATACTTTTGAATGTCAAAGAACACACTCGTGAGTCTGAATCATTTAGTGTGTAGACTCCCAAATAAAAAACTTTCCTAAAGAAAAACAATAATCCCATTACTCTCAGGCAGTGAGGTCCAGAACACCAACTTA